TGGCGGCTTGCCCCGGCGGGGCTCTCCTCCGCTGAATGGCCGCGGGGGCAGCGGGAGCGGTGCGCTGGCGCCAAGGAGCCGTTGCTGAATGTTGGGGCGGCGTTTCCCGCTAGCTCTTCATGCTCTGCTTAAGGCGGCGGGGCAGCTTTTCTGTCCGAGCAGGGTGATGAGTTGTGGTGTCTAGTGCATCGCCCTGAATTTTCCATGCGTTGTAGGCTTACAGTGCAGACAGAACATTGAAAAAAAAATGAGATCATAAATAGATTGAAAATCCCATAAAACCAATTCAAAATGTACTGTATATGTTAATTCTTTTTCGTCCGTTCACACAACACGCTAACATACCAATACCAATACTTTAATGGCCAAGTATGGCCAAATACTTTAATGGCCAAGTAACATGATGGCTGGCTGGGTTCCCACAGTACACGGAACCCCACCAAACCCGTTTAACCTAATCCCGGTGCTGGGTGGGACTACAGCCTCCATTTCTCAGACCCATCAGAATTTCTTAAAAACGTGTTAAAAGTTTAAGTTAAAAGAAAAACAGAATTGCTGACTGTGTTGTTTTTAATATGTATTTTTAGAATGTTACTGTATCATAATTCTTGGGGGCTATTTTGTGTGCGTTTCCTAAAAAACAGTGGCTCATCCTTACTCTCTCCTTAAGGGACATTTGGCAAACAGATCAGGCCCACCCACCTGAATGTGCCAGTCTTCCAGTGCCACAACTGGAATTTTGTGTGCTGTTTGGAATGAATGAAATCTAGTCCTGCAGAGGTGTACAGAACAAGTACTGGAGCATCTTTTTCTAATTGTATCACATGCTTTCTGGAGAAACCACGTAGATGGAACTGTTCATTCGGGGAATATTTGCATACTTTACTGTGAGGATACAAGTCATTGTAGCATGACTCGCTCAGTCCTGTGCTGCCCAGATCTGTGTCTTTGGTCAGTCATCGGGCTGCTGGGGAAGGGTGATGTAACATTTACTGACATATGTGGCCGGGGGCGGGGGATGTAGCACAAAACATCCCTGACGCCAGAACAGCAATCTAGGAAGGATGAGTGACATAAGAAGTGCTGTGAGTCACTCTGGAACGGCCGTGAATGGGGCATGGCCAAGGTTCCTGAAGAAGTGATGTGCAAAGCTGAGAGAGCGCCTGGCCTCTGGGACCCGTGCCTGGGGGAGGGCTGAACTCAGAGCTTTGGGGTGTGAGTCACACCCACCAGAAGAGGTCTACTTGCTCCAGCCTCCTGAAGCCCACTCTCCCCACTTCTGGGTGACAATTCTGTGTTGAACTGAAAACGGGGCAAATTGAATACTCCAGGGTTTTTAACCGGGGTGCGTGGTTGCAGTAGGGCCCCTGGGTGGGTTGCATGGCTAGTTCCTGAATTTGAATAACCCACCAGGCCCCACTCAAAAGGCTTAGGTAATGTATGGGTCAGGGAGTCTAAGCCATTACCAGGGTCTGGTGAGTGAACCCATCAGCCTGTATGAAATGGGCGGGTTTGGGCACGTGTGAGGCCCAGATCTGTCTGTGGCTTCTGGTCCTTTCCATGTTGTGGCCAAGGCCTCTGCAAGTGGGGGCGGAGGGGCTGTTTGGGAAGGCAGCTTCAAGCTGGACAAGGCAGGAGGGGGGCTTTCTGTACATGCTCTGGGGCAGCCATGCTCCGCAGCCTATTCTGGGCATCCCAGGCGGCAGGAGAGGTCGGGAGCTCCCTCCCTGGGGTCACTCTTCCCACAAGCGCGAGGCTGCTGAAGAAGCCAGGAGGCGGAGGAGACGCGGTAGCCCGCCTCCGCCTCCGCCTCCGCCTCCGCCT